AAATCAGTCTTGTCTTGACAAGAACTAGCCCCGCCCACCCACCCTTTATTTTCTTAGAAGAGTGGGTCATCTGCCAAAATCAGTCTTTTCTGGACAAGTACTAGCCCCGCCCACCCACCCTTATATTCTTAGCGAATATGTCATTTGCAAAAATCAGTCCATACTTGCCAAGATAAGATTGATTTTGGCAGATGACCTACTCTTCCAAGAAAATAAGGGGTGGGTGGGCGGGGCTAGTACCTTTTCTTGGAAGAATAGGTCATTTGTCAAAATGAGTCTTATCGTAGCGAGTACTACTAGATTTTTCAGTTTTTCGACTTTTCAACTTTCGAATTTTTCGATTTCCCGCTTTTTAAATTTTCAATTTTTTGATGTCTTTCGATTTTTGTTTTCTCTGGGCAACTGAAAAAAACTTTCGATTTTTTAATTTCATGATTTTGACAGTTTTCCGATTTCTCAATTATTTGATTTTTAAAAATATCGAGAAAATCTATCTTTATTTTTTAAATTTTCAATTTTTGATTTTTTGTCACCGAGTTTTTGGAAGGAAGTGAAAAGTAATTTTAATTTTGATGTAACTTTAAAAAATAAAAAAAAAATTCTTTCTAATTTTCAGTTTTTGGATTTTTCGATTTTTCAAAATTTCGGTTCGAATAAATTTGTTCTTTTAGTTAAAAAGTCGAAAAATGACAAATCGTGAAAAGGAAAAATTTTAACTTGAGAACTTGAAAAATTAAAAATCAAAAAATTCCAAAATTCTAAAGATAAAACTTGAACAATCAAAAGATTGGAATTAAAAACTGCAAAATTGTCAAACAAATTATCAAATGAAATATTCGAAGTTGAAAAATCTAAAAGCTAAAAAAAAAATGAAAGCTGGAATTTCGAATTCGATTTTATAAGATTTGTTTTTTTTTTCTCAATTTTTGCGATATTTCAGTTTTTGATGTTTCGATTATACAGTCGTACAATTTTCCAATTTCTCATTTATCCGATTTTTCAATTTGTCATTTTTTTATTTTTAAATTTTTTTATTTTTAGCAAGTACTAACCCCACCCACGCAATCTTTATTTTCTTAGAAGAATAAGTCATCTGCCAAAATCAGTCTTATCTTGACAAGTACTAGCCCCGCCCGCCCACCCTTTATTTTCTTAGAAGAGTGGGTCATCTGCCAAAATCAGTCTTATCTTGACAAGTACTAGCCCCGCCCACCCACCCTTATTTTCTTAGAGAATATGTCATTTGCAAAAATCAGTCCATACTTGCCAAGATAAGATTGATTTTGGCAGATGACCTACTGTTCTAAGAAAATAAGGGGTTGGCGGGCGGGGCTAATCCCTTTTCTTAGAAGAATAGGTCATTTGTCAAAATTAGTCTTATCGTAGTGAGTACTACTAGATTTTTCAGTTTTTCGATTTTTCAACTTTCGAATTTTTCAGTTTCCCGTTTTTTAAATTTTCTTTCGATTTTTGATTTCTCTGGGCAACTGAAGAAAACTTTCGATTTTTAATTTCACAATTTTGGCAGTTTTCCGATTTCTAGATTATTTGATTTTTAAAAGTATCGAGAAAATAGATCTTTATTTTTTTAAATTTTCGATTTTTGATTTTTTGTCACCGAGTTTTTGGAAGGGGTAAAAAGTAATTTTGATCAGCAATTGCCATGTTTACCGTAACTTTAGAACATCTAAAAATTTTGTTTCTAATTTTCAGTTTGTGGATTTTTCGATTTTTCAAAATTTCGGTTCGAATAACTTTGTTCCTTTAGTTAAAAAGTCGAAAAATGACAAATCGTGATAAGGAAAAATTTTAACTTGAGAACATAAAAAATTAAAAATCAAAAAATTCCAAAATTGTGAAGTTAAAACTTGAAAAAATTGTCAACAAATTATCAAATGAAATATTCAAAAGTTGAAAAATCTGAAAACTAAAAAAAAAATAAAACTGAAATTCGGTATGAATTCGAATTTTTTGAAATTTTTGAAAATTGCGATATTTCAATGGACGATTCTGGAAAGATTTTTTTCGAATGTATCTATTATTATCAATTGTTGGTTAAGAATACTTTATTTCTGTTTAATAAAATTAAGGTTTATTTTTTTTAATTTGTTTTCAGCAGTGGATGAAGTTGTATTCAATTCTCTTTCAGCTTTTTGAGAAATTCGCTGTTGTCGCCTTTTAAGTAACCTTCGTTTGTAAATTGATTTATGTCAGTAAGCAACCAACATTACATATGTGTTTATTTAATTGCATAATCATAAAAGCATCCGAAACCGAGAATACGTGCGTTCAAAATCTAAATAATTAATGAACACACGGTATAACAATGATAAAATAAGAATTATAACGTTTTTTTCTCAATTTTTCGCTATCTCAGTTTTTGATTTCCGGACTATATAGTCGCACAATTTTTCGATTTCTCATTTATTCGATTTTTCAATTTGTCATTTTTTGATTTTTAATTACGTACGTTCAAAATCTAAATAATTAATGAACACACGGTATAATAATGATAAAATAAGAATTATAACGTTCAGAACATTTTGTTCGATTGTGGTTTAATTAATAATTTTAGTCCTGTTTTGAGAAGACAAACTCATTCAAATCAAACTAATTTCTACGTGATATTCTTTCGATGTAAAAACATAAATAAACACTTGAGCTTCAGATTGGTATTACCTACTGCTAAAGGACAAGGGGTGTTATTTATGTCTCTGGTTTTTAATTTGCAGCGGTTATCACAAAACGACAATCGTAAAATCAAATTTTATAATTTTCTTTAAAAGAGGCTTTTTTTATAACCTTCGACCAATTTTTTATTGATAAAATTAAGAACTTCATTTTCTAGTAAATGTGAGAATACCCACGTCTTTATTTAATTATGATCAAGTAAGAATAATAAACATATTATCAATATTTTGTTCCTTTGTGGGTCAATTAATAATTTTAGTGCTCTGTTTTGAGGAGACTCTAAGAAAATAAGGGTGGGTGGGCGGGGCTAGTACTTGTCAAGATAAGACTGATTTTGGCAGATGACCCACTCTTCTAAGAATTTAGAGGGTGGGTGGGTGGGGTTAGTACTTGCTAAAAATAAAAAAAATTAAAATCAAAAAATGACAAATTGGGAAATCGTAGAATCGGAAAATCAAAAACTGAAATATCGAAAAATTGAAAAGAAAACAGATCTTTTAAAATCGAATTTGTAATTCCAGTTTTCCTTTTTTTAGCTTTTAGATTTTTCGACATTTTTCAAATTAAAATTTTTCCTTTTCATGAATTGTCATTTTTCGATTTTTTAATTATAAAAGAGCAAATTTAAACTGAAAATTAGAAACAAAATTTTCAGATGTTTTAAAGTTACGGTAAACATGGCAAATCGCTGATCAAAATTACTTTTTACTCCCTTCCAAAAACTCGCTGACAAAAAATCAAAAATCGAAAATTAAAAAAAATAAACATCTATTTTCTCGATATTTTTAAAAACCAAATAATTGAGAAATCGGAAAAGTGCCAAAATTGTAAAATTAAAAAATCGAAAGTTTTTTTCAGTTGCCTAGAGAAATCAAAAATCGAAAGACAAATCAAAAAATTGAAAATTTAAAAAGCGAGAAATTGAAAAATTCGAAAGTTGAAAAATCGAAAACTGAAAATCTACTAGTACTCACTATGATAAGACTCATTTTGACAAATGACCTATCCTTATAAGAAAAGGTACTAGCCCCGCCCACCCACCCCTTATTTTTTTGGAAGAGTAGGTTATCTGCCAAAATCAATCATATCTTGGCAAGTATGGACTGATTTTTGCAAATGGCATATTCTCTAAGAAAATAAGGGTGGGTGGGCGGGGCTAGTACTTGTCAAGATAAGACTGATTTTGGCAGATGACCTACTCTTCTAAGAAAATAAAGGGTGGGTGGGCGGGGCTAGTACTTTTCAAGATAAAACTGATTTTTGGCAGATGACTTATTCTATTTTTTTTTTATAATCTTTCAAAGAAGCGAAATTTTTTGGAATGTACTTCAAGGGCGAGGGAATTTCTGTTCAAGTAACCTTGGACCAATTTTTTCCATTGCCCACTGGATCAGGTTGATCTGTTAAAAAATATTACTTCCTACTTAAAATCTACCCTTAATAAATTTATTAAATAAAGATTCATTATTATTAAAAAAGCACTCTACTGTTTAGTTTAACATACGTGTATTGTCTCAGAAAGTTCTCGTTTTAAATTCATAATTTTCTGTAATCAAACCAGGAAATTTCGATTCTTGTCCACTTTTTTCTTCTAATAAGTGTTTCGGGATTATGAAAACCCGCAGTGAGGAGGCGGAGCAGTCTGATCCTTCGCTGCTGGGTACCGACAATAGTTTTGCGTGCGATAGTAACTTTCGACAATTACTTCAAAGTCCGTTCTTTAGCAAATAGTTTATTAGTGAATGTCCTAATAAATTGCGTAGATACAAAAAAGAAAAGTATTAAATATCCATTTACACAATTCAGTACACAAAGCAATAATTTCTATAATTTAAGATTTAAATATAATAAATTAATGAATAAAAAAAAATAAAGATTTTTTGGTCTAGCGTTCCACTTTAAATTTTAATTTCGGATTGATTTTAGTAATTTGGGTGATTATGCAACCAATTATACACAACATCAAGGTAAAAGTTGTTGGCGCTTTATTTCCGATTATTTTAGAAACAAATACATATTTTTACATTTTTGTAGTTTTAATTTATAGTCTTCGCCCAACATCAAGAGAACTGAGCAACCAACAGGTGCCAATTGTTGCATAAACAAACGCTACTTTGTCAAGGTTGCAATGTTAATGCGATAGACGTTCCATTGTGTGTCGTAATTACATATCGTACACGAGAAAAAAAGCGATAATTTTCAATTCATCGAACCGCAAGTCACTCGCAGCTAATATACATTTCAAAAAAATTGTAAACATGAATATTCAAATAACTCATCCAATATTTTTTTTTTTTTTTTTTTTGTAGTAATTCGGACGCCCCCTCCTCTGGAGCCCGAACCCTTCCAAAGACCGGAACATGACTACTCTGGTAAGACCAAACCGACATCAATTTTTTCACAAATCTTACTGCTTTTTTGAAACAAATAGACCCAGCGGAACCCCAAATTCTGGCCGACATCACAACCGACAATTTCGAGGCTCTCTCACTGGACAACAACATTAACAATTACACGCCGCCACCAGCCGTCATGTCTTCACAGTATTCGCGCTCCAAGTCAAACTTGGATCAGGTGTACGTCAGCAGGCTGACCAAACAACAAGATCGGGAAAATATCGTTCCTAGTTCCAATAAGAACAAACAGCAGGTGCCACAACAACCACAACAACCACAACAACAACAACAACAACCTCCACCGCCACAGCATATGCAGACGCCGAGGTATTGTCGTTGAATTCTGACCTAAAAATTTAAATAAAGTGCGCTTCGTCGTAGGTTCCACCTTCAGAGACAAAGTAGTTGCAAAGACGTGCCAGAAAGCTCACCCAAATCCAACAGTATTATCAAGCACAGCGTTTCCGAGGCCAACATTAGCAAGACCACCATGTCTTCAAAGAACAACAATTCCTCGCGGAAGAACTCGTTTTCTAGACCTAGTCGAAACTCTACATCTACAAGCGTACCTAACGTATCGAAAATCCCCACGAACAGTGCGCGGACGGGCGACAAGACTGTCAAATCACCGCCATCTTACATTACTAGTACACCTGTAGACATTTACGTTAGTTCGAAAATTTCGCCGGATAACAGTCCGACGGAAGAGGAGTTCGTGCCGGTGTCGATCGACAGACCGGTGGGGCTAGATTTAGACGACTTTCTGCCGGTGAGAATCTCTAATAAAAAGTACACACTTCCATAAGTCAGCTGAAACGTGCCTGAATAGTATACAACGAATTGCCTTAAAACCACGTAAAACCGTTTTCGTTTTGCAGAAAAATCACCGGACGCTGGGTTTCCAACAGCAGCTGCCGGACATGTCGGAGGCGGAGGTTTTGGGGGCCTTGATGCGGGGTCACGAACCGATGATGGCCATGTTGGTGACGCGCCAGAGAAGTCTGAAGCTGGTTTTAGCTCAATTTAGGTCTAAGGACGTGAAGGCCGCCACCGAGGCGGCGGTAGCGATGGGGGATCTGGCCGTTTTGGTCGATTTGTTGGGGGTTTTTAACCTTAAGTAGTAAGTTTGGGGTTTTGAGCTTGTGTCAAATAGTTGAATTGTGTTTTTAGTACTCTATGGAACTTGGATTTGTGTGTGCTGATTTTGCCGAAAATCCAAGATTTGTTGCAGAGTAAATTTGAGACGTGAGTATGATTTTTATTTGCTAGTGTTTAGAGATTTAATTTAGTTGTGTGAAACTAAACTTTCACTATAGCTATATTTGTAAATTTTATTAACATTGAAAGGCCAATATACACATTAATGCGTAGTTCGTCATTAGGTTCAGTTAAAATACTTGCTCGAGTGTATGCAACCAAACGTACACATTACATGAGGGGACTCGCTACATACATATATGACTAGAGAGCGGATTTATAAGCACAAAATTTTCAATAAAAAAGTTTTATTTTAAGCAAAAAAGCATTAAAAACATAATCATATTACAAATCAAACAACACTTCTTAGAACTTTGGATAAAATATTATTACAATAATCCTAGACTTTATATTTTACACACGTATTTCAGTTTTCTTTAAAACAATTTATGATTGTAATATGTTCCAAGTTGTCCACTGTAAAATTTTTTCGCCGATCATTTAAAATGTGTTTAAAATTGGAGAATGTGCGTTCAACATCCACACTCGTTGTTGGCGCAAATTTAAATTTTGCAACTAATGTTGAATCTAACTCCAAATTTTCCACCTTCTGGCCTTGTAAAACACGAGCAACGTCGGAAAGAACACCGAAACCTGCATTTTTATTCAACACTTCGTCAAGTTTTTGAGACACTCTAGTACCAATATCACCCCTTACTGCGTTTGCTCGTTGTTTAAATTCTTTCACTAAGTTTATGGCATCTACCAACAACATGTTGGGTTTTTCTAACTTTTCTATTACCTCACATACGAATTGATAATTGCTTCTTAGAAAAGCTAGATCTTGTCGCAAATCTTTGTTTTCCAAAATATTTATGCAATCTAATCGATTGAGAAGAATCTTCGCTAAACTCCGTAACTACTTCCTCAAATTCTTTGATATATTTGTCATAATAAAATGTGGCCTGTAACCATGTTCCCCACCTCGTTATAATCGGCTCTGGGGGCAATGGTATGTTTGGAAATTTTTCCTTAAAATGTTGCACTCTTAGTGGGGCTTTAACAAAAATATTTTTACCATTTGCCACTAATTTATCAACAGTAGGAAACTCCAAACGTATTCCTTCAGCCACTTTGTTTAAACCGTGGGCAATGCAAGTAGAGTGAATTAAATTGGGATACAATATTTTTAGATTATTCCCTGCTTTCAACGAGCTGCATCCGAGATCATCAATAAAATTTTATTGGCAAAAATAGTGACCTAAGACTGTCATTTACAAATCTGGTAATCGTATTGCCATTTGTTTTATCTAACATTTTCAAACTTACTACATACCCTCGACTAGGGAAATTTTCATTTCCAACAATTAAACTTGCCACGTATCTTCCACAACTATCGGTTGTTTCATCGACAGCGAACTATAAATAATTATCTCCAATGCGATGTTTAATTTCGTTGTAAACTTGCTGAAACACTGGGCCTACATAATTTTTTCGGAGAGTACTTTCAACCGGAATATGTCGATTGCAGTGTTTTTCAAGGAATTCTTGAAGAAGGCCTTTCTCCAATTTTTTTAAAGGTATATTGGACTGGATCATCATTTTACATAAATCGAAATTAAACTGAAACTGCTCATCTTTTGTGGAAGTAGATGCAACAGATTCATGTATGGTCTGCTGTTTAATTTTAGAAACTTCAAACATTTTCTTCCTTTCTACATGAAGAGTCGTTCTGACATGTTGCGTCACCTTATATTTTTTATCACTTTGAATCTAAAACAACGTACATATACAGGATTAACAAAGGAAAATAGATAAAAAAAAAATAGTGGCCTTACGGTTTTCACACAAGCTCTGCAGAATATTTTGTTGTTTTCTAATTTTAATTCTGGAAAATCCCTTATCCACTCATCCGGCGTCGATTTTACTTTCGGCATTCTTTTAAAATACTAGTAATATTACCAAAAAGAACTCAACATGTACCAAGGGAGAACCACGTATAACACTGTACTACGACAGATGCGATAGACTGATGGTTGTGAAATAAACGGTTCATTTATTTAAAAGTTTCCATTAGAAAAATTTTAAGGTAGGTAGTTGGGGACAATAATCCTTTTTTCTAGAAAATCTTCAACGGTCTTGCCGCAAAATGCCGAAAAAGAACATCTGGTTAAAAGCTTTAATTCATTATCATCGGAAGTAAGGATTTAAAGTCATAAAATCTATGGAGTATTTTTCCAATCCTATAATAAAATTTTATTACCCAAACGACCGGAACCTATTCACAGAAAGGGTCTTGAATAAGTGTACTTCAATGGTCAAGTCCAGGTAAAATGCATACGATACGATACGCCTAACTAACAAGTATTTGTCATCCCGACAAGGCCGGCATTTGAACAAAATATGCATTAAAACTCATATTCATCGAAAAAAGCATTAAATAAGCATATAAGTTTTAATATGCATAAAATTGAAAAAAGCAAATAAGCATAAAAAAAATGTGTGAAATGACTCCAAATTGTATCATAGTTACATATATAAAAAAGTTTTGAAGTGCTTACATTTTTCACAAAAAGCATTAAACCTAGAAATCCGCTCTCTATATATGACAATTTTTTTTCGGTGATAATATGACATTAATAGAGATGTTGTGCATCAAACAGCAACTTTTTTCATGTTCCAGACCCCTGAAAACAGTTCAAATATAACAGAGGAATATTATTAAAAAAGACATTGTCTTTTTTGATGTTTTTTTCCTCTTTTTTTGTGTGTTAAACATCATAGAATCGATTGAAAATCTCCACACTGATAAAGTAACGTATTTTAAAGGTCCTTGTTATATTAAAAAATACTACTTCCCTTCTGAAATATACCCGTAATAAATTTATTAAATAAAGATTCATTATTGTAAAAAAATCACTTTACTGTTTGCTTTAAATTATGTATTGTCTCAAAAAGTGCTTGTTCCGAATTCAAAATTTTCTGTAATCAAACCAGGAAATTTTGATTGTCCACTTTATTGTGTGTTTAGGGATTATGGAAACCCGCTGTGAAGAGGCGGAGGAGTTTAACCCCCTTAAAAATTAATTACACCGCTTAACCAATAATATAATAAGGTACTATAAAAAGAATAACATTAAATTCCTTAATAAATGTCTAAATTGAGTAGCTACACTTGCAAGATACATATAATTCCACCTTAATCCCACATCAATGAAGGCGGTTAACTTCAGAAAAACAAGGGCTTACATTTTGCCCTTTTTTTATTAATATGTGTAGTCTTCTTTTCACAACAAGAAAAGTAAAACATGTTTAAAATGGTAAATTTTTGTAGGAAAATATCGATTTTGCAATTAGGCTCCGCCCCTCAGCTTACAACGAATAAAACAAAAATCATCAGAATTGAGATAGGGCGGGTGGCCGGGCCTTATATTTTGCCTTCTTTTTTCTTATCTAAATTGCCATCTTTTCACAACAAGGAACATTGAACATGGTTAAAATGGCACATTTTTGCAAGGAAATATGGATTTTACAATTATGAGGCGGAGTCTAATTGCAAAATCGATATTTCCTTATACAAATTTTCCATTTTAAACATGTTTTAAGTTTCATGTTGTGAAAAAAGTCTACACAAATTAAAACAAAAAGGCAAAATGTAAGCCCGCCCACCCACCCTATCGCCATTGTGATGATTTTTTTTATTCACCGTGAGCCAAGGGGTGGAGCTTAACTGCAAAATTTCTTTACAGGAAATTAAAAACGTGTTTTTGAGTATCGTGTTGTTCAAAGAATACTATGTATATTAAGAGAAAAAGAAAAAATATTAAAACATCTCAATTGCAATGATTTTTTTATTCCTACAAACTTAAAACACGTTTAAAATGGTAAATTTTATATTTTGCCTTATTTTGTTTTTTATAATATGCATATCCATCTTTTCACAACAACAAACTTTTTAATTTTTATTTTAAATTTTTTAATTAAATTCCAAATTTTTCGACTTTTCAGTTTTTTGTTATTAAATTTTTTGGATCTTTTGATTTATCGATTTTGCAGTTTTTCGACTTTTCGCTTTCAGATTTTTAGATTTTCCAATTTTTCAATTGTTGAAATTTCGATTTTTCAATTTTCCGATTTTTCAGTTTTTAGATTTTTCGAATTATCATTTTTTTTTAGTTTAAATGTTTCAGTTTTGAACTTTTCAATCTTTCAATTTTTAGGCTTCTCGATTTCCCGACCTTTTGATGTTTTTCCGATTTTTCAATTTTTCCACCTTTGATTTTTCAATTTATCGATTTTTAGTTTTTCGAATTTTCGATCTCTCGACATCTCGGTTTTTCGATTTAAAAATTTTTCAATTTCTGAATTTTTCTATTTTTCGATAGTATCAATTTCGGTTTTTTGTTTGACATTTTTTTGAAAATTCGTGCGCGATGTTTCCATTTTTCAACTTTTCGGATTTCAGTTTTTCAATTTTTCGATTTTTAATTTTTTTTGATTTCTCGATTTTCGATTGTTCATAATTTCCCGATATTTCGATTTTCCAATTTTTCCACCTTTGATTTTTCAATTTCTCCATTTTGTATTTTTTTTTTTTTCTTAATATAAGTCGTTTTTTCACAACAAGAAACTTAGAACATCCTTCAAATGATACATTTTTGCAAGGAAATATGGATTTTGCAATTATGGGGCGGAGCCTAATTGCAAACTTGATATTTCCTTATACAAATTTTCCTTGTTGTGAAAAAAAGTCTACACATACTAAAACAAAAAGACAAAATGTAAGCCCGCCCACCCGCCCTATCTCAATTGTGATGATTTTTTTTATTCGCCGACAACGAAGAGGCGGAGCTTAACTGTAAAATACTTATTTCTTTACAGGAAATTAAAAACGTGTTTTTGAGTATCGTGTTGTTCAAAGAATACTATGTATATTAAGAAAAAAAGAAAAAATATAAACCCCGCCCACCCACCCCATCTCGATTGCAATGATTTTTTTATTCCTACAAACTTAAACCACGTTTAAAATGGTAAATTTTTGTAAGGAAATACGGATTTTGCAATTAAATTCCGCTCATTTGGCTCTCGACGATAAAAATCATCATAATTCAGATAGGACGGGTGAGCGGGTCTTATATTTTGCCTTTTTTTTTCATAATATGCATAGCCATCTTTTCACAACAAGAAACTTTTCGACTTTGAAACTTTTTAAATTTTTTAAATTCCAAATTTTTCGACTTCTCAGTTTTTTAGTTATTAAATTTTTTTGATCTTTTGATTTCTCGATTTTGAAGTTTTTCGATTTTTGATTTTTTAGATACTTTAATTTTTTCTTTTTTTTTTTCGTTTGGATATTTTGACTTCCCGATCTTTCTATTTTTCGACTTCTCGCTTTAAAATTTTTAGATTTTCCAATTTTTCAATTGTTGAAATTTCGATTTTTCAATTTTCCGATTTTTCAGTTTTTAGATTTTTCGAATTATCATTTTTTTTTAGTTTAAATGTTTCAGCTTTGAACTTTTCAATCTTTCAATATTTAGGCTTCTCGATTTCCCGACCTTTTGATGTTTTTCCGATCTTCCAATTTTCCGATTTTTCAATTGTTCCACCTTTTACAATGAAGCTCCGCCCCGCGGCTCACGACGAATAAAAAAATCATCAGAATTGAAATAGGGCGCGTGGGCGGGGCTTATATTTTGCCCTTTTTGTTAATATACACAGCCATCTTGTCACATCAAGAAACTTAAAACATGTCTAAAATGATAAATTTTCGTAGTAATCAACTTGAATACTCCACTTTTTTTCTACAACCCCTTTAAATACGGCAAAAATTGAACATCAAAGTTACTATCAACGGCAACTTGGCAACGGACAATCTTAAGCTAAAGGAACTTCCACAAGTTTATAAATCCCACTTGACATTTTTTTCTAAAAAGAATTGGCGACCTATAAATGGATTCCCTAATGTTGTGTTAAATAAAAGTGTCTGGGTTATATTTAGTTGCAAAAACTGTGAAAATGTAGGTTAATTGAATTACGATGCTCATTTTTGAATAAGATATGATGTTATTTAATAATAGTGACGCTAAATTCAGTGGAATTAGAACAAATTTCTTTTAGATCTCAGGTCAGTAATAAAAATAACTTCCAATATTCTCATATTCAATGACTCACCCCTATTTTTTTTTTTTCACAAATATTCTGAAGTATTTCTTGATTTATTTTTCCTCCATTCTACGTTAAAAACTGACTTCTTCGAATATTCAAATATATGTAGAGAAATCAAGAGGAGTAATATCTGGTGAATAATTGGCTATAAAATTTCTGCTCCTTGTTTATTCCTGTGCTGTATGTGCCGTGGTTCCATCTTGTTGGAAATATCCACCATATTGTCAAAATCTTCGTTTTTACTTTCGTCTGAGTTTAGAGAAATTAGCCGTTCCAGATTTTTCATAAGTAGAACGCTGTTATGAAATCCATCACAATTTATTTTTGGTGCTGTACCATAAGTATACAGGGAGTTCATTTTATTTACATTTCATAAACAGCTTTGATTAATTTTTATTTTTAAATAATAATAAACACATAGATATTAGTATTTATTAATTTGTTAATAGAGTAACAATAAGTACAAACACGTGATGATAATAATCGTAAATAGTGGTTGCTCGACTTTTAAAGACAAACGTGTTGACATTATTTTTCTGCATTGGAATTATAGCTGCTTATAAATCTACTTCTTAAGTTAAGTAAAACAGAACCGATGCCGTAGATTTGTTTACCAATCTGAAATCAGGACTTTTGTATTTTTAGCAAACCATAAAAGAGCACACTTACGTTGACACCTAGCTCCAGATTAATACTGTGTTGCAAAAATTGCAGGCGCCACGGTACCATAGTATTAATCAAAAAAATCACATATGTCCGTTTGTTTGCTGGGTTAAGTAAATACCAGTCGACATTAAGTAACATTTCGCTGACTCGATCAGTCTAAAACGATAACAACAACAATAATAGTAATAATACAAAGTCCTTAACGTGGTACTTCTTCCTCCATCGCTTGTCCCGATAAAATCAGCAACGAGAAAACATAACCCGAAATCATCGACAACAGCGTAATGCGCACCAGCATCAGCTTCTCTTGAAAAAGCAAACCCTGTAACGTTATTTTATCATCGTCGTTGTCAGCATTTTGCGACAGCTACTTACAGAAAACATGATCACAAAAAGTATGATGGAAATCCCCACACCACAACCGGTTAGCGCAAAGTACCCAATGAGGAAGTTCATTTCGTCTTGCTTCTTGTTGCCAAGACTACAAATTCATGCATTAATTATTAATTTAGAATCTACTAGAAATTACCAGATGATCTCGTTATGTCTCTGAATGCAAAAAATAATCCTTCTGCTGAACTCCTTCTGGTAGCTTTCGTCGTAGATCAATTTTTCTAAGTCCGTTTCTTGTTTATTTCTTTGTTCGGTTAAACACTGGACGTGTTTACTCAACATCATTAATTGAAATCGCATGTGGTGGCTGTAGTATATGAAATTTGCGCAAGGTACTATCGTTGCGTAAGCTATAAATGGCAGTGTGAGTTTGTACAAGTACGATAAGGTGGTACTGTATTTGGGACAGTAGTCAGTGGCGAGTTTAATAGCAAAAAACCTGTCATAGTCGACACTCGTTGGTAAAACGAAGACGGAACCTACAGCAGTCGCAGTAAGAAATGTCGCCGCTAGTACCATCGATATAACTCTTGATTCTTTCTTGATGCGTTGACGGATTTCTGGGCCCGCTGCGTCCATGTCCCAGACGGTCATTTCGTCGGAGATGTGGCTGATGTAGTCGTTTTTGAACAGAGCCATCGCTACACCTCCTAGACTCTGACGGAGTTCGAAACGACGGTATCGTGAAAGTGGATATAGTTATACTACTTACGAAAAATATGCCGAAGAAGAAAGGTCCATAAGACGCGAACTGCTGACTGTTGAATATATAAACGATGAAGTATGTTTGAACCAATCCTAGACCTCCATGAATTAGGAGTAAAAGGACCAGAAGAATTTTTACCACTTTGTATTCGAAAATGTCGCAAGAGAACAGTTTGGCCAGTTTGAGGAAATCAACTGAAATGAATAGAACAGAAGGTGGTATTAATTAACGTGAAAATTGGGTTCAAAATTTTCAAAAAAAATTAAAACAATTGATTCAATTGACTGAAAATTCCGGTCAAATTGTACATAATCTTTTTCTAATTATGAATCCAAAATCACCGTCACGACATCTAATCAAATAAATGTGAAAAATGAATACAAAATTTTCAAAAATTTTCCCAAAAAATTGTTAAAATTGATTCAATCGACTGAAAATCGGTGTCAAATTGTAGATAATCTTCCGCCAGTTACTAATCCGAAATCGCCGTCATGACATATAGTCAAATTAATATAAAATGTTAGTTCAAAATTTTCAAAAAAAAAATACATAAAATGGGTTCAATTGACGGAAAATTGGCGTCAAATTGTACATAATCTTCCGCCAATTACGAATCGGAAATCACTCTCACCAAATCAAGTCAATTACGCGTGAAAAGTGAGTTCAAAATTTTCTACAAAAAAATGGTTAAAATAGGTTCAATCCACTGAAAATTAGTGTCAAATTGTAGATGATCTTTCTCCAACGACTAATCCGAAAACGCCGTCGTGACATCTAGTCAAATTAATGTAAAAAAGTTAGTTCAAAATTTTCAAAAATTTTCCAAAAAAATGATTAAAGTGGGTTCAATTGACTGAAAATTAGCGTCAAATTGCACATAATCTTCCGCCAATTACGAATCGGAAATCACCCTCACCAAATCAAATCATATAACCCTGAAAAGTGAGTTCAAAATTTTCAAAAATTTTCCAAAATGGTTAAAATCGGTTCAATCGACTGAAAATTGGTGTCAAATTGTAGATAATGTTTCGCCAACTACTAATTCGAAATTGCCGTTATGACATCTAATCAAATTAATGTAAAAAAATTAGTTCAAACTTTTCAAAAATTTCCAAAAAAAGAACTACTTAAAATGGGTTCAATCAACCGAAAATTGGTGTCAAATTGTAGATAATCTTTCGCCAACTACTAATCCGAAATCGCCGTCATGACATCTAGTCACATTAATCTAAAAAAGTTGGTTCAAAATTTTCAAAAATTTCCAAAAAAAGATTAAAATGGGTTCAATCGACTGAAAATTGGTGTCAATTGTAAATAATCTTCCGCCAATTACTAATCCGAAATCGCCGTCATGACATCTAGTCAAATTAATCTAAAAAGTTAGTTCAAAATTTTCAAAAATTTTCCAAAAAGATGCTTAAAATGGGTTTAATTGACTGAAAATTGGCGTCAAATTATACATAATTTTTCGCCAAATAAGAATCCGAAATCGCCGTCATAACATCAAGTCAAATAAACGTGAAAGTTCAAAATTTCCAAAATTTTCTAAAAAATTGACTAAAATAAGTTCAATCGACTGAAAATTGGTGTCAAATTGTAGATAATCTTTCACCAATTATGAATCAGAAATATCCGTAACAACGTCAATTCAAGTAAACGTGAAAAATGAGTTCAAAATTTTCAAAAATTTTCCAAAAAAAATGGTTAAAATCGGTTCCATTGATTGAAAATTGGTATCAAATTGTACATAATCTTCCGCCAAATAAGAATCCGAAATCACCGTCATAACATCGAGTCAAATAAACGTGAAAGATTAGTTCAAAATTTCCAAAATTTTCAAAAAAAAATAGTTAAAATCAGATGGATCGACTGAAAATTGGTATCAAATTGCACATAATCTTCCGCCAATTACGAATCGGAAATCACCCTCACCAAATCAAATCATATAACCCTGAAAAGTGAGTTCAAAATTTTCAAAAATTTTCCAAAATGGTTAAAATCGGTTCAATCGACTGAAAATTGGTGTCAAATTGTAGATAATGTTTCGCCAACTACTAATTCGAAATTGCCGTCATGACATCTAATCAAATTAATGTAAAAAAATTAGTTCAAACTTTTCAAAAATTTCCAAAAAAAGAATTAAAATGGGTTCAATCAACCGAAAATTGGTGTCAAATTGTAGATAATCTTTCGCCAACTACTAATCCAAAATCGCCGTCATGACATCTAGTCACATTAATCTAAAAAAGTTGGTTCAAAATTTTCAAAAATTTCCAAAAAAAGATTAAAATGGGTTCAATCGACTGAAAATTGGTGTCAATTGTAAATAATCTTCCGCCAATTACTAATCCGAAATCGCCGTCATGACATCTAGTCAAATTAATCTAAAAAGTTAGTTCAAAATTTTCAAAAATTTTCCAAAAAGATGCTTAAAATGGGTTTAATTGACTGAAAGTTGGCGTCAAATTATACATAATTTTTCGCCAAATAAGAATCCGAAATCGCCGTCATAACATCAAGTCAAATAAACGTGAAAGTTCAAAATTTCCAAAATTTTCTAAAAAATTGATTAAAATAAGTTCAATCGACTGAAAATTGGTGTCAAATTGTAGATAATCTTTCACCAATTATGAATCAGAAATATCCGTAACAACGTCAATTCAAGTAAACGTGAAAAATGAGTTCAAAATTTTCCAAAAAAAATGGTTAAAATCGGTTCCATTGATTGAAAATTGGTATCAAATTGTACATAATCTTCCGCCAAATAAGAATCCGAAATCACCGTCACAACATCGAGTCAAATAAACGTGAAAGATTAGTTCAAAATTTCCAAAATTTTCAAAAAAAAATAGTTAAAATCAGATGGATCGACTGAAAATTGGTATCAAATTGTAGATAATCTTTCGCCAATTATGAATCAGAAATATCCGTAACAACGTCAATTCAAATTAACGTGAAAAATGAGTTCAAAGTTTTCAAAAATTTTCCAAAAAAAAAATGGTTAAAATGTTTTCAATTGACTAGAAATTGGCGTCAAATTGTACATAATTTTCCGCCAGTCACGAATCGAAAATCACCGTCACCAAATCAAGTCAAATAAACGTGAAAAGTGAGATCAAAAGTTCCAAAATTTTCCAAAAAAAATTGTTAAAATCGGTTCCATTGATTGAAAATTGGCATCAAATTGTACATAATCTTCTACCAAATAAGAATCCGAAATCACCGTCACAACATCAAGTCAAATAAACGTGAAAGGTGAGTTCAAAATGTCCAAAATTTTCCAAAAAAAAAATTGTTAAAATCGAATGAATCGACTAAAAATTTTTCATTTCTTAAGATTTTTGATTTCCAATTATTGGTTTCAGTTTTTTATTTTCAAAATTTTTACAATTTGCCGATTTTTCAATGTTCTGGCCTTATAATTATTTGTTTTTTCAATTTTAATTTTCTCAATTTTTTTGTTTCTTCCATTTTTGTTCGATTTACAATTTTTCAATTTTTATTTTTTTTGTTTCTTCAATTTTACGATATGCATCTCAAGTTTTCGTTTTTCAATTTGCATTTCAGGAATTGTGAATTTTTAGATTTTCAGTTCTTAATTTTTTCAATTTTCCATTTGCAATTTTTCACTTTGCTTTTAACTTCTTTTTTTTTAATTTTAATTTTTTTGGATTTCGATGTTATAATTTTTGTTTCTTTATTTGAATTTTTCAATTCTTCAGTTTTTCAATTTTTTGTTTCTTCAGTTTTTTGATTTGTAATTCTTTCGAGATTTTCAAGTTTAAATTATTCAGTTTTTCAATTTTCCAATTTTGAATTTTTTCATTTTTCGTTTTATTTGTTTCAGTTTTTTATTTTCTTTATTTTTCAATTATTCAATTTTTCGATTTCACAGTTTTTTGTTTTTTCAAGTTTTCGTGTCTTCACTTTTTCTACTGTCGATTTTTTGTTTCTTTAGTTTTCAGATTTTGCAACTTTTTGATTTAAAATTTCTCGAGATTTCAATTTTTAATTTTCCAATTTTTCAATTTTTGTTCAACATTTCGCAATTTTTGGTTCCGCTTTTTAGTTTCTTTATTTTTACAATTTTGCGATTTCCAAATGTTCCGATTTTATAATTTTTTGTTTTTTCATTTTTTGTTTCTTCAGTTTTTTAGATTCTGCAATTTTTCGATTTAAAATTTCTCGAGTGTTCAATTTTTAAATTTAAACTTTTTCATTTCTAAAGATTTTTGATTTTCAATTTTTGGTTTCGGTTTTTTATTTTCTTGATTTTTACAATTTGTCGATTTTTCAATGTTCCGGCTTTATAATTTTTTGTTTTTTCATTTTAATTTTCACAATTTTTTTGTTTCTTCAATTTTTGTTCGATCTACAATTTTTATATATTTTTTTGCTTATCTTAAATTTTACGATATGCATCTCGAGTTTTCATTTTTAAATTTTTCAGTTTTCTGATTTTCCAGCTTTTGTATGTTTCAGTTTTCAAGATTATGCAATTTTTCGATTTTTCAATTTACAGATTTTCAATTTTTCATTTTTTTGTTTCCTCAATTTTACTATATGCATGTCCTCGAAATTTCGTTTTTCAATTTTGAGATTTTTAATTTTTCATTCAATTTGCAAATTTTCGTTTCGGTTTTTTTCTTTTTTGAAATTTTATATTTATGTTCTGGATTTATAATTCTTTTTTTCAATTCTTCAAATTTTCATTTTTCTGTTTTCATGTTTCAATTTTTCAATTTTTCGATTTTTCAATTTTTAGATATTGCAATTTTTCGATTTGCTACTTTTCGTTTCATTTTTTTATTTTCTTTATTTTTTCAATATTCGATTCTTCAGTGTTCGGATTTTATAATTTTTTGTTTTTCAATTTTTCCTTCAATTATCAGATTTTGCAATTTTTGATTTAAAATTTCTGGAATTTACAATTTCTTTTTCAAATTTTCGATCGTTTAATTTTTCATTTTTTCAAATTTTTGATTGGCAATTTTTGATTTCGGTTTTTTTTTTTGTTTATTTTTACAATTTTTTATTTTTCACTATTCTGCAAATTACGAATCCGAAATCGCCATCACGACATCTAGTCGAATAAACGTGAGAAGTGAGTTCAAAATTTTCAAAAAGTTTCCAAAAAATGGAAAATTTTGTGCAAGCGACCTAGAATTGGTGTCAAATTGTAGTTAATCTTGTG